GTGTCAGGGATCTCTGAGCTTTGAATGTGTGGCTGCTCTGTTCTCCTGCCTGTTGGCACCGTGCCCATGCCCAGACAGAATGGGGGAGATGGAGGGACAGGGCTTCTGCTGGAAGCTGCCCTCCACCTGGTGGCAGGGAGTGTGCAGGAAAAAGAAAGAACCAGTTTACTCCCTGAAACCCAGTCCCAGGCCTGGAAGAGGGGAGAGATCACGGGAGATGGGACTTGGACCCGCTCAGCCATCGGGGGAACATGTCCAGTGGGACACACATCCTAGAGCTGTGGAACCTGTGCCACAGATGAGGGAGGCCCTAACCCTGCACAGATGCCTACCTTTGTTATTGTGTATTTCTGGGGTGTTGGTGTTGCGTTGCCCGGTAAGTCCTGTCTGCAGAGTGGTATTAACTGTAAGTGGCTTGTGTATCTGTATTGAAATGTTTTCAGTGAGGTTTCACATTCTTCATGTCCTGCATCTCCCCTTGAGTTCCATGCCGTGTTACATCTTGGTTCCCGCCTGCTGTCCGTTTATACAGCCCACTCCCATATGTCCGTCTTCTGAATCCAGAGACAGACTCTCCTGTGGCATAACACATGAGTCTTCTTTAACATGCACTTCTCTCGTCCTTTTTTTCTTGTTTTTTGGAGACAGGGTTTCTCTGTGTAGCCCTTGCTGTCCTGGAACTCGCTCTGTAGACCAGACTAGCCTCGATCTGCCTGCCTCTGCCTTCCAAATGCTGGCTCTCTTCCTTTATATTTTAGGGTTTGGCATCCTAGGAATTTTCCACAAGTCATCTCCCTTTTTTAATTTTAAAAATTAGATATATTTATTTGATTTGATGTGTTTCGCCTGCATGTATGTACCACATGCATGTTTGGCTGCCTTCATGCCAGAAGAGGGCATTGAAGTCTCTGGAGCTAGAGTTACAGGTGGTTGTGAACCACCACGTGGGTACTGAGAATCAAACCAGTGTCCTCTGCAAGGGCAGCAAGTGCTTTTAACCACTGAGCCAACTCTCCAGCCTCGATTTTCTCCCACTCTGAGTTTTAAAGTGGTATGTGCAGTTATCGGTGTCCTTAATTTCGAGTTGGGTATTTTACCCTCCACCTTTATACTTCTTCCTAGTGCATGCCTACTTAGACACTTTTAGGTGTAAAAGTGTTTGGGATTGTACTCATTTTTAGTATGTGAGTATTTTCCCTTCATGGATGTCAGTGTGCCGTGTGTGCAGGGCCCATGGAGTCCAGAAGTGGGTACTTAATACCGTTGGAACTAGTTACAGATAGTTGTTAGCCACATCAGTATAAGGATTTGAACCCAGGTCCTCTGGAAGAACAGCTATGAAACATGGCACCTGAGGCTGGAGCTGTTGATAGAGCGCTTGCCTACCACGAAAATGATGAGTTAGACTTGGAAAGAAAAATACTCAACTTTATATGGAAA